CTTGCTGGCTAAATGGCCTACCCCAAAAGGTAAGTTGTGCACAATTCCAGAAAAATTAAGGTTACAGATCTCAACACACCAATGCCTTTTCATGTCCGCACTTCATCAACCTGCGTATAAGACCAGTCTGTAGACCAAGTAGTTAACACAACTACACTGTAAAAAGACAAGCATACTACTACTTCATTTGTCACTGCACTAAATACCATAAAGGACTGAAAATAAAAAGAGAATGACAACTATCCTAATATCTTAGATGAGGTGTCCTGACTATTGACATCGTCATCCCTCAATTACAAGCAATATATAGAAATAGTGGCACTGGTGGCCTATCAGCATCAGCACTGTGAAGGGAGGAGCCTATTGCTTAATATATATTGACAACATTTGAGCGCAAGTAACTAATACAAATGTGAAACTAAAACACTCCTTAGTGTTGTCTCCTGATTCACATCAACAACTGTCAGTGACTAAATATTGATTATTGCTCACTGATTTAATAAAGTATAAAAGGACACAACCGTATATAAACAAATAATTGTACCCTTGGATTACAGAAATTAGTTTCTGTGCATATTGGGAACCCACATATTTGGCTTAATCACTATAATAATCAAAATTTGTATTGCACTATCATCATCCAAAAATTTTTGTGCCAATAGCTAACAATTAAGCACTGCAACTTTTCATTCCGGCAGTTAGTTTTCGATTTGTTGAGACAGATGTCTGAAACAAAACAGTCCCTCCAACGCAACACAGAAATACACAGCACCACGAACAGCCTGACACTACCTGACCTTGTCTAATCTCAGAGTGCCAAAAGTATCCTGCATGGGGTCATATTCACAAACCTGCAACAAGTCACAATTTTGTCTTGAAATAGCCTAGAAATGGGAGGATGGAATTTGAGGAGGAGGGAGGGGCAAACAGTAAGATTTTAAGATAATGGTCAACCAAGTTTATATTAACTGTCATTAACACAGACTGCTCCAGACCCCAATCATCAAAGGCAGGTGCCAAGAACAAGTTTTAACGACTGAAATATAACTTCTGTAGTGTACATGGAAAACTATAGCCAGCTGTGAAAAATAAAACTTTTGCAACACTCATCAGTATCATGAATACCTTCCCATGCCTTGAACACAATGAATTTATAATTCTGCCAACTACTTGAACTTTCATAAATATCACTTAAATCTAAAGACATATTCTTCATCCTTAGGAAGAGTACAGTAGTGGCAAAGACTTCATTTCTGTCATTTTACTTCTCTTACATCCCCTCCCTCTGACGACAGTGACTCAATTTGATTTCAATTTGATGCATACCAGCATCTTTACTGTGCCACATTCTTCACATGTAGACCATAGATGTTGGTGGACTATTTCATTGTGTCTGGAACGGAGAGAAACGTTTCACAGCCAAACCCGGTGCTATCTTTATGTGATATCTAATCGTGTGTACTTTCCATCAGAGGGGATTGGATAACAATAGGAGCCAGACTCCTGGCTGATTTGTTCCACTCTCTAACCTGGGAGAGAAATTGAGGCACCAATAATGCTGAAATCTGCTCAGTTAGCACAGACAAGTGATTAAACCTGAAATCTTCCTTGTCTGGACAGTTCATTACCATATGGTGTAGTACACTTGATGATTGAACCATTGAGAGAGAATTTGCCTAATTTGACCTTCATGGAAAGAGTTCACTTTAGAAAAATGTCTACAGAACCTGGGTCATCCATGTATTATAATGCCATGTATGTATCAAACATGCATGATCCACAAAAGGGGCACAATAAAAATTTAGTATTTTTTTAAAAAAGGAAAAACACCTATAACTGCTGAATTTGCATTCTGTTTATACAATCATTCTGCTATCAAGTGTCCTGAAATGGGAAAATAATATGTTGGTTCTTTTCTTTCTTTATCAGGTTTGATATTGTCTGAGATAAGCGTAAATATATATCTACAAATAAGTATATATTTTGTTTAAAAACATTTTTGCTATCAAAAAGGTCTCCAAGAAGTGCATTGTACATCACCAAATTTCCTTCTGAATTACTCTGGAAAATAAAATGATGTGCCATTATTCAATTTAGGCCTTTTCAATATTCAGAAGAGAGATTTTGCGTCCCATTAAACAATTTATATACTTCTTTGAAAGGTCCCTTATGAAATGTCTCTTTTGGAGGTTGAAGAGCCCTATTTATCATCATAGCTCATTCCTTTAAAATTTGAGATTAGCTTTGTTGTCCTCCTCTCCACCACCTCTCAGACCTGGGTGGCCTCCCTATGTCGCATCACCCAGAACTGCACACAGTATTCCAGGCGTAGCCCGCAGAACTGGAATATTATTTTTGTCTAAGTCCAAGCGTGCTCACTTGTACATTATGCAACGGTCAATTTTAACAAGGACAGGAGATAAACAGGTTGGGGTAAGTTAATTGTGGGAATCACTGTAGCTAAAGGCTATTACAATCATTTGGGGGGGGGAGGGGGTAATGTGTTTTTAACAGATTGTGATTTTACCCAAGCACATAGTAATGGAGAAAACACATAACCTACATTTCTTCTCCTGGTTATAATGAATGACAAAACCAAGGTTCCAATAAACCTTTCTCCAGTTGCTTACATTCTTGCCTGATTTTACAGAATTTAGTTTAAGATTTAAGTAATATACTTCTGTATACATCGCTTATCGAATATCCTTGTACCCACCTTACATTTCACAATGTTCAATATTTATACACAGATGTTCATGTTAGGGAGGTATTAATAATTCCCTGTTGAGCTCTATTTGGAATTATAAATATCGTATTTTTACAAAGCATTTGAATTCCCAACAACCTCCACATCCAGTAAAATACTTGTCAATCAAATCATAAACTACAAGATAAGTCAGGTTTACTTGTGTCAAACATCCCTCCTGGAAACCTTTTGTTTTTTTTAAAAAAAACATACAACTTTGCAAATCTGCCAGGATGATTTTGGACTCTACTGTTTCTCACTGTTGTGGGTAACCCCCGACATTCGCATTCCTTCAATTAGTAGCCTGAGGTCATGTAACCTAGATGTAAGCAGAATTGTCAGCGTTAATGGTACCCACTTATGTAAGAGCCAGATGTGGACAAAAACACAATTACAATAAAGCCCAAATGAAGTGTATGCCAAATGGAGTGTACACCCAGTCTGAAAACAAGAAACACTGGTCCTTATCACCACATGTGTTTCCCGTGCAAAATGTTGTTATACGCATAATTAACATTTTCGTGCAGGCAGTGTTATTTCTCAGCTGATAAACTGGAAAAGATTCAACTGTACTTTTGGGCTCCAGTTTTCTTCCCCCAACCAACAATTGAAGTCCAGTGTAGCATTGTAATCTCTACATTATTGCAAACCACTTTTAGAAAGGATTAAGTGAGGGGCAAACTTTTTTTTTCCACCCACATTGTGAAATGAATTGCCCCAAATTGCTTCCCATTATTTTACACATACTTTTAAATAAGTGACCCGATGGCAGTGAAACACAAATAAAGCCCGATAAGCAGTGACATAGTCAGATGAACTAGTCCACATGTACACAAATAAACAAGCAAACCCTGACTGTAAGTTTCGGACTCTAAAAGTTTCCTGGAAGCAGTGTTGGGTCCATATTGCAGCTGTTGACAATGGTTAAGGATGCGGAGCAACAGTCAGTGCAGCGCCCCTTAGGTTAGTCTCTCTACACCGCCCACACAGCTCCTTGAACAAACTGCTGACCTTCGGTCGCTACCTAATCCCCTGGAACTCAAGCCAACTAACAGCAGAGCGCCTGCACTTTCCCTTCTTGCTGCGTTGTTACTGAACTCTGAGGGTCGGCATAAATGGTTACAGATGGATTTTACGCATCGCAGTCTTATCTAAGTACTTACATAAAAGCATCGTTTTCCTTTGGTGTGATGAGTAACACACACTTTTTTGGGGGCTTGGGATACAGGAGCGATAACGTTGGAATGTAATTTATACAAGTTAGGAGGGAGTCGTGTCGGATCGTTGTTCTTACATATTTTAAGATGTATGCCCCTAAGTTATTTAAATTAATATTAAAACGAAATTCATTCCCCATTATAAAAATAGTTAGTGAAAATTAAGCTAACAGAAAGTGACTGCAATGTTTGACAGTGACGTGTTGCCCCCTATATACAATTACGGACAATGCTGCCAAAATAATACCTGCATTGATAACAATTCCACATTGTGGATTGCATCAGTACCTATCTTAGCAATCATACCTTTAATCTTAACATCCCACAACCAGAATGTTAGCTTTAAAGCCAGATGCATGTGCTACATCCAACGTTGAGTCCTGAATAAAAGTTCTAAGTTACGCCTGAAATTACAACCTACAGAAATTGTATCCATTCTGTACTAATCCATTCTGCCTACCGACGTTGAAAAACAAAGTACGAAACAGTTGAGGAAGAGGAACACGTTTGCTTAGTTGCTAGGAATGGATTGGCACCGAGGACTGTCTGCACCTCTGCAAGTCAGATGGACTGGTGGCCATCAACAGTGCCTTGGTTTTCCTGTGGACCTGCCTTGTCTTTGAAAGGCGGTTTCCCCCAGAGCCAGTTCAACCTCAACGAGGATATTTTTTAGATATTTTATTGACCATGACGGGAGAGTGGACCACTAGGGTCCAAACTCACAACTTTCTGGTCTCAATTCCAGTGCTCCATCTGTAAGCGAACCAAAATATCGATGCAATCCTCCCTCTACAAATAACTCCGACCTATTGGGGTTTCTACATAATCCAAATGGTCAACATCAGCAATGAAACAGATGATGAATATTGTAATATAGTATTCCCAATAATGGTTTCAACATTGTTTTGCGTGTTTATTTTGCTGCCTTGGAGAGAGTCTGCCACTGTTTTTTTTATTGCTTGGCTCGCAAACCAAGGAGTTCTATATAAGCAGTTCCTTCTGAAACGGTCTATGTGGGACAGTCAGTCCTTTCTTACCTGGAGGACACAAGCAGTTGCTCGGAGCATCGCGGACCAGTCGTACCTTAGGTAAATGTGCCTTTAGTTTCTAAAAACGAAGAAGAAAGGGAATCACATCTCGACAAACAGCATTCTGGTGCAATTTTCTCTGGACTGTCAGAGAAACTAACTGATATCTCTCTGACTCCAATCGGCCAGTTTCATACAACTCTGGTACTTCCTAGAAATAAAATACATCGATGATTTTTCTTTTTTATTAATAAAAAAGAAACGTCGATCCAAAAGGCGTAAAAATTCCATCCTCTCTTTGAAATAAATGGCGTTATAACAAGTACGTCTCCTTAAACTAAGATTTATATTTAGAATGCGTTTAGGAAATTCGAATTTGAAGTGCAAAAAGAGACTCGAAATGTGTGCTCAAGATTAAGTGCGATATCCTGCAATGTACGTGCCAATTAAAATACAATGAAACTCCAGTCGGCTCTTTGCGGTGAGCATTTGCCACACAGTGAAGCATGAAGTTTGGAAACGTTGCTGGAAACCAGAGTGTTTGTTTAGCCTCGCTCCAGGGGATACGTGGGAACGTTTGGTCTTATTCGTGAGCTATCATTCCCCCCCACCCCCACCCCCACCCACCCCCAGTTTAACAATAGTATTCATTAAGAAAAAAACAACGAGGAAACATGCATAATAAAACACGATCAACGTTTCCTTTAGGTTTGATTTTAAAGTCCTTGGCAGGGGTTCTCTTTTTTTTTATCTTTTAAGACAAGACAGACAGACAGACAGACAGTCAGTCAGAGTCAGTCAGTCAGCACCAACCTCATCAACTAGTTGATCAACTCTGCTTAAAATAGCCACTTCCATTCGGTCCACTGAAAGCCAGGCTGAGAGCGGCGGCTGTCTCTCATTTTCCAAATTTATGACGCGAGTTTGCAGATCTGAAGTCCTGAAATGCACCAAAATGCAAAATCCGAGAGAGAAGATTGATAGAACACAGCACACGACCCCAGAGAAGTCAGAACAGTGCCGCACACGCTTGGATGTTGGAGGTGCATTGGAGGTCCTTTTGAACTCAGGGTTATCCGCCTCTCGCGTCCCCTTCTGAGCTTCTTCCATAGTGCTTTTAACTCACCCTTATCGAGTCCAAATCTGCAATAAAATATCCTGCACTCATGAGAGCGGGTCCCAGCAATACACAAGGAACCCCGCGACAACCTTCGGATGAAATGCCCGAGAGTGGAGGCTGACTTTTAGATTTGGTTTTGACAACTCTCCCGTCTTGATGAAGCTGCCGCACGCAGCACACACGCACGGTTGCGGAGTTGCCTTGATCACTGAGAGGGTAGTGAAGCAGCCCCCGAGGTCTCCACGCCGGCAGACAGCGACTCGCAAAACCTCTTGCTTTAACGTCCTCAGAGCCAACGCATCGCTTGAAACGAGAGCAGCGCTATATCCATAGATGTCAGTTTCAGCCGAGCAGTTTAAGCCATTCCTCCCCCCACCCCACACACACACACACACACCCACCACCACCACCACCCACCCCCCCCTCTTCGTCTCAGTGGAACACAAACGCAGCTCCACTGCTCTGGTTTATCAATGCTATTTCCAGCCATACGTCTCTTTAACATAATTTATTTATTTATTCAAACTGACAGGGCGGGTTTCGGTCGGGATCTCCACTTTGATCATTAGTGACGTTCTCTTCCACCCCCACCCCCCCCCACCCCCACCTCCCCCTCTCTCCCTCTCCCCTTCCCACATCCGATTATTTTTAACTGTTGGGACGATTTCAAAGGGGACTTGGGCTGCAGCACTTCAAATGTTGCATTCCGCCTTTACACGTGGAGCTGATCTGACCCAAGACGAATTGATAAGCCCCCCCTCCCCCCACCATCTCCCCCCCCACTCCCCCCACCCCCACCCCACCCCCCCCCCCCCCCCCCCCCCCCCCCCACTTCTCCCCTGCAAAACTGGTTATTTTCCTGACCATTATAACTTACCGAGTCAAAAGAGGATCCCCTACAAGGCCAGTGACACGAAGGCTGCTGCTGCTGTGTGTGTGTGGCTCGCTTCCAAGCAGAAATCAACAGAACGTGGATTAGTTACCCAACTCGAATAAAGCTGGTCAAAAATATCACGCGGCACCTCTCATCTTTGTTCCTGTCAAGCCCGACCTGTCGCCGAGGCAGTGAGGCAGTGTGAGATATAACACAGCCGGTGTCAACCAACGTCTTGAGGCACAGTAAATGGTACAGGAATTGACAGCCTAAAGTAAAAGACACGGCTAAACAGCCTCCAGCGACAGTCACGGTGACAGACTGCCAATACCTTTAGCATGACAGTTCATAAGGTTTTAAGGCTAAAGTGTGGTGTAAGGTGCAGGAGAATCCAACGTTGCATTGGAAAATTGAGGGTGAGAAACTGACACTAAGAGAGCTAAAGTCGGATTTATTGTACTGGGGTCACAAATGCAAGATGCGCAATAGAAATTCCAGAAGGATTCATAAATGTTAAACCCCACAGGAAACCAGATTTGTGTCACGCTGACCCATGCAACTTTGCTCCAATGCAATTGGGAGGAGGTCAGATCAGAGTGGATTTCTCGCAGGTCATCAGTCTGGTTAACTTTCCAGTTGTTAATATTTTCTCTCCTGATGTTGCAGTGAACATGTAATAAATAACAAGTACATTTAATATAGCGCTTTGTCAAGATGTCTCAATTGATATTCCCCCTGGCTTGTTGTCAGACTCTGCCACTGTGAAGCACTCCTGGATGCTACCCTGTGTGAAGGGCGCTATATAAATGCAAGTTGTTGTAATGACCCACAAACAGCCATGAAGTAAATGATCGATTTTATTTGGGGAACTACTGACAAGGCCATTGGGAGAAATCTCTTCTGTTTTTGAATAGTGATGTAGGATCTTTAATGTCTACCTGAACCGCAACCCCCAAAATGCAGCATACCCCCATCACCGCATCGGAATGTCACCCTAGACTGTGAGTCCTCTGTTTATTTTCAAGTAGAAGTGATTCTGAAGTAACCTAAGATACCTGGTGCTTTATCTTGTGGGGTGGGAGCAAAACGTTGTGGATTGCTGCCTGTGAAAACTTAATAATCTTCGCATTTGATATAGCGCCTTATCACATCTTCGAGGCGTCTCAAAGCGCTTCACAGAGTATACTGTAAAGTGGATTGACTGTATATTTTTGTGGGCGAAACTTGCACATGCATGGTTCTTTACAAGTTGTAATCTTTTCTTTCCCTCTTTAAACCTTGCCCAATCCCTGCCAAAGCAATTTACAGCCCAGCAATAATAAAACTGCATTATTTGCCTGTAGGAGTTGGCTGACAGCTCAGCACATCACTGGCCAGAGAATAAGGGAGCCGTGCACTCAGGGAAAGTGGGATTTCAGCATTTATCTTGGTGCTGTAGGTGATTGTTGGCTCTCTAGGCAGAATAAGGAATTTCTCCAACACTGCCGATTGGTGGCATCACTGTAATATGAATGAAGTATACGATTTCTCTGATTAGTTTTATCTAGTCCCAGTCATATTCAAAGCAAAGTTCTCAAAGGTGGCGTTTATTGGTTTCAACTCCCCCCAAGCCCACATAAAACTGTTACTTTTCAATTCTCAAGCAATGAGCCCCCATATCTGAATGACTGTGCTATGAGAATCATCCCACACTCATGCCAGTGTTAGGGCATTCAAAAATAGCCTGGGATGATGTGTGAGTGCTGGACGCCAAGCTGCACTGATTTCAGCGTTGAAGCAAGTGCATTATAAGTTTTCTGTATTTATATATTGCACACCCACCAAGCAGTCTTTGTACATTTTGCTCATGTATATATAATACACGTATTTTTAACTAACCAGAAGGAGCTCGGACTCTTGTGTGCTGGGGCATCTTTCGCCTTTTACACAGCTTCCATTAATGAGCGTGACTGGGAATAAACCAATACTAGAAGCGCCTCATTCATCATGTTCTCTGCACATAAGGTTAGACTATTGGTTCTGTGCCTATTCATAAATCAGGGGTCTTTGCATATATTTATATCTCAAATGCACACCTGTGACCAGCAAAGGTAACTTGAGCCTAATGACTGTTGCCAGAGAAAGCTCTTTGGCAATGAAGAAAAAAGATTATGCAGCAAAATCTTGAATACTTTACATCTACTGAGAGGGAGTTTGAAGCTGAACTATACCTCAGTTGGCATTGGTGGTGGCAGAATATTGCCGTTTAGCTCAGTAAAATCAGCAAAACCATGACACACACATACATACACAGATTGCATGATTTCACTACTACTGAGTAAATCATCATCAGAGTTTACCTTCTTTTCTTGGTTTGATTTCATTTATAGGTGCATTCAAGAAAAGCATCAGACTGAAGTCAACAGTAAAAGTTTCACCATACCGTGGGAACATTCAAATGCTGTTATAATTGCTCCCTGATGTTTCAATGCCTAGTGTGGAACTGGTTTGGTGAGGGCGCAATCTCTGCTCGGAGTTGAGAGAGCGTAACTTAAATGCGGGTGTGTTGCATTTGGGCTCAATGCCCCGGGCTAAAGAGGGAGAAGGAAACCAGCCACGATTACCACTCCTTATCACTGCCCAAGCGACCCCTGCTAAACACTTCATACGTGACATAGTGGGAAGGTAGAACTGTGCCCGGTGGTGCAGTTGAATAGCTTTGCTGACACTCACTGTCTGAGTTCACAAACGATCACTGGGGCGACGTTCTGGAAAGCCGCTTGTGCTGTGGAAACATATCACCATCTTCTGGAAAAGAGGGAAAGAAAGGAAAACCCAAGTTGGCTGAAGAAAATTTGATGTGGAACAAAATTTTTAAAAAATCTGCCATTTCAAGAAGAAATAGTTTCCAATGTGATATCATTACTGTACATCAACGCCATGTCAAATTACGCACCTTGAGAGTCCTGCATCATATTGATGTGGTATTTTAAACATTGCTTCTGGACATTCAAGAGATAAGACACCCATCCTAAATAACAAGAAGGTTGGCTTAGGAATTTAAGATCCAAAATCCATGTCAAATCTGTAAAACAACATACAGTATGACCTAATTTACACCCCTGCATTCTGAGCTTTTGAAAAAACGTTTTGCTTAAATTATAATCATTAAGGAATTATCCAAATAATATAATTTACACTTATATAACGCCTTTTTCATTGGGAAGACGTACATTCACGGTGCTAGATGGGTACCCTAAAATGAATTTCTAAAATGTAGACTTTTGTTAGTTTCAAACAAATTTTACAATTCCAATTTCAATCACAACAGCTTCCATATCAATATGTTATATAGTTAATCATGATAATAAGTGAAATGATTAAAAAATATATTTACTTCATTAAAAAAAGTCAATTATTTTTCATTTTCCATGTATATGACTATATAGAAGATTAGGTTGAATAAGTTGATGTCAAACTTGCAAGCATGGAATTAAACCTCAGTGTGAAAACATTAATGCTTTCAAAACATATAAGAGTTCAAGAAATGACAAGCACAGCCAAATTAATAGCACATTATCTCCAAAGTATTCTACAAAATCATAATACAACCATGAATCAAAATTACTTTTCTATTCTGTTTTAATACCCCTAAAAGTCTCAACTCTGAAGCGGTTTATGATGAAATGATTAGCTTTTCTAAACAGAAGTTAACAGATTGGCACAGAATCCATGCCATGTTTAGTCTTGTACATGTTGCACAAATGGCCATTTGCTTACATTTTACTATATACACATGGAAATACTCAACAACTGTAAAAAATGTAATCAGCTTCATCACAGTGATTGTTCTGGCTTTTTGTTACAACCAAACCTGGAATTTATTTAACTGTCACACAGGGAAGGTGAGTGTGGCCGATTATGTGTTTGAGTTGTTTTTGTTTTGGCAGTTGAAAGATACACTATTGTGAAGTGGTGCGTATCTTCCATCTGGAAAGAACAGAAGATGTTCCACTGACACTAACAATTGCAATCCAAGTCAAGGCCGGACAGGAGGTCTGCTTTAGCTGAGGATTTTAAAAGAAAAAAGAAAGAAAAACAAATAGCCTGCGTAAATCCATGCTGTGCGCACCAGTCCTAACAAGTATACATTACTTTTCACTTCCTCTAATTTAGTTCCAGGTCTGGTATTTGTGTTTGGTATCTGTTATTTTGTTTGGCTGCCTTTTCAGCGACACTGATTGTTTGATCTTTGCAAAAGCAAGTTTCATATATTCCAGTACGCCATCTATGGTTCAGACGACCAGTGTTCGCAATCTGTGGATCCTGAGAAGCTTTGTCAGTTTGCTGTTTCATCTAAAATATTCAGCTGCCCTTATATAGTCAGGGACAAAGTAGACGATAATGTATTTCACTCTGTTTCCATGTCTAAACACTCATAAGAACGCACTTGAACCTTTATATTTATATAATGACACATACTTCTGAAAGAAGCCACAAAAGGTTTAAGTAAAATCAAT